CCCAGAGCAGGGGGGAGCCTTGGTGGAGGGATGGGGGGGGAAAGGGAGGATGGTGGGGATGGAGCCAGGGCCACGTGGAGTTGGCAGGTTGGAGCTGTAGACCATGTGTGGCCACTTGCCAAGTACCACCGAGCCCCACGTGACTGGTGGCTTCTGCTGGGGATTGTGAGCTGGGGACAAGCCCTGAGTGGGGTGGGGTGGTGGTGGTGCAGAGCCGTTTTAACGTGCCATTCCCTGGGGATTGCCATCCAGGGGATCTTCCCTCAGTCTTGCAAGGCTTCCTCTGCCCAAAGTGCTGTGGCAGGAGGGTGCCAGAGCCTGGGCTGAGCCAAGATCAGCTGGTGCACGAGTGATGCTGGAGCCCGATGGCCACGGCGTTGGTTGGGGTGGTGGTTCAGGCTGCTTTGATGCTGGTCTGGTTTTCCTGGGCTGTGCACAGGGTCAGCCCGGCAGCCCTGATGGTTCTGCGGGGTGGGGAGCAGCACTCGGTGTGCTCCGTGGCCTCTGTGGAGAGGGCAGGGGGTCCCCAAAACCCCGACATGTTACTGGGCACCAGCCTTGCCCCAGTGCAAGGGGTGGAAAGCCATCCCAGAGCATGAAGTGCTTGATGGTCACTGTCTTGAGTCCTGTGGTGGCCCTGGAGCTTGGTGGAGGGGTTTGGGGAACCCCCTTTGGTTTAAGGGCAGGGGAGAGACCCAGGCACTGCCCTTGTAGGAACCGGGCTGCTGGGGATGGTCCTGGTCTCCACTGTGATTCTCCTGGGGGTCCTGGTCTCTGCTGTTGTTCTCCTGGGGGTCCTGGTCTCCACTGTGATTCTCCTGAGGGTCCTGGTCTCTGCTGTGGTTCTCCTGGGGGTCCTGGTCTCCACTGCGGTTCTCCTGGGGGTCCTGGTCTCTGCTCTGGTTCTCCTGGGGGTCCTGGACTCCACTGTGGTTCTCCTGGGGGTCCTGGTCTCCACTGCGGTTCTCCTGGGGGTCCTGGTCTCTGCTCTGGTTCTCCTGGGGGTCCTGGACTCCACTGTGGTTCTCCTGGGGGTCCTGGTTGTCTGGTAATCAGTGATGCCAGGGTCTGGTGGTGGGATCAGCCAGAGTTTCTTGCTCTGCCCCCTTGCAGGTGCCCTTGGCTCGAGGGAG